GCCTTACAGTATGTCCCACGGCTCGGCGGGCCGCAAGGAGGCCGCCCCGCCCGAGGCGATGGAGGCCCAGTTCAAGGCCGCGACACCGCTGCCGCCGACGACCGGCGGCGCCGACGACGATGCAGGCCGATGCAGGAGGCGCCGAGGAGCCGCCACGACAACGACGACGACGACGACGACGACGACGACCAGCGGCTATGACGGCCTTCCCTCCCGGCGTTGCGTACTCTCCCGCTGGGGGCGCTGTCGCCTGGCGCTGGGCCGCGGGGCCGGCACGGCTCGATCCCGCCGGCAGTGCAGCAGAGAGAGGTGGTCTCGGGCGGCCGTCGTGCTTTGTGTTGCGGTGCTGCAGTTTTTTCGCGAGAGGCCGGATCTCAGGGTGGGTGGTGCGGCCTGGACGACGGCGTCGACGATGGTGGCGGCGGCGACGGCCTTCGACGGCGGCGGCTGTCGACCCCGAAGTGCCAGGTCTCATCCGGATCACCTTCCCCCCGTTTCTTCCTCCCCGGTGCAGCCGCATGAGGAGGATCACAGTCGCCCCACCCCGAGCGCTGGACCCCCGACCCCCTCCCCCTACTCCCACCCAACCCCCTACTTGCCCGCCCCACCCAGCGACCGTCATCGCGGGAGGAGAAGAACGACGAGAGAGACGTGGCAGAGTGGAGAAGGGAAGGGGGATGGTGGCAGCAGGATTGGGAACGAGGAGGGGGGACGGGAGAGCGACGCAGGAGCGGGACGGAGGGAGGGAGAGCGGGTGTACGAAGATGGAGGGGGGCGAGTGGGCAAGGGGGAGGGGGGAGGGAGGATGGGGGCGGAGGCTGACGAAGAAAACGAGAGTGAGGGAGAGAAAGGGGAAGGCGGGAGGGCGTTGTGAGGGTGGGGGAGGATGGAGTGCGGAGTGAGGAAAGCAGGAGGGGGAGGAACGGAAGACGAGATGGAAGGGATGGGGGGGGAGGGACATGATAATGGAGACACGGGGCAGGAAATGAGGGAAGGGTGGAATGGGCGGAGCGAAGAGAAGGGACAAGGGAGGAGGGAGGGCAGACTGACGGAGTGAAGGGAAAGGAATGAGCTGGCGGTAAGGAAGGGTAAAGCCCATTACGGGTGCGGATGGCGATGATCACAAGGCAGATCCTCGTGTGGCCCCAGCGCGGGGCCACACGGCGTGCACCCATCGGGCGCAAGCCCGTAGAACGGAGAGGGCCAACCATTGTGGGCCCCATCGGCCTGCTCCTCGGCATCGGTATCGTCGTCGTCGTCGTCGTCGTCGTCGTCGTCGTCGTCGTCGTCGTCGTCATCCTCCGCCTCCTCCCTCTCCCCTCCTCCTACTTCTGCTCCTCTGCAGCTGAAGCCGCTTCCTCCGAGGCCAGCTGGGGCACTTCCGTGCAAAAGCAACATCAGATTAGCAATGGGTTGCCCCACCCATGGGTTGCGCCATGGCTGCGCCATCCATGGATTGCGCCATGCGATGCGACATAGATTACGCCATGTGTTCCGTCATCCATGGACTGCAACATATAATGTCCCATGGGATGCAAGGGCGAACAGACTCGAAGGGAGAAGTGGGGCGATGAGGAAGGTTGGGCGTCCCAAACATCGGTTTTTAAAGTTTAAAATGTTGATACGTCGCAGAGCAGTATCCCTTAAGTAAATTGCACATGGCAGACACCGTAACCTTGTACGTAATTCATATGTAGACCAAACTAGATAACGTAAGCAGCTGCCGATAGTTACACTGCAAGTCGCATAGGTATGGCGCTCCTCCAAACTAGAAGCCCAACCCCTCGCGCCACCATCTTGTGGGCGCCGCCAAGACTGCGAAAGCGACGACGACGACGACAGCGACGACGACGACGACGACGACGACGACAACGACGGCCGTGGCGTCTGCGGCGGGCTCGAGCGTTCGAGGCGAACGTGGCGCAGCTGTGCGGCCTGTCGGATTGGGAGGGCATCAAGCAGGCGAGGCAAGAGGAGGAGGAGGAGGAGGAGGAGGAGGAGAAGGAGGAGGAGGAGGAGCAGGAGCAGGAGCAGGAGCAGGAGGAGGAGGACGAGGAGCAGAAGGAGGAAGAGGAGGAGGAGGAGGGTGAGACGGAGGAGAGGAGGAGGAGGAGGAGGAGGAGAAGGAGAAGGAGAATGTGGATGGGGAGGGCGATACGCGATGTTCGAAGCGGAGGGGAAACATGGATCACCGCCACCAGGAACCCATCGGGGGGGGGGGCCCAGCCCCCGGGCGGTGGCAAGCCTGCGCGTCGTCCAGTGCGTCGGCCAGGGATCGTTCCCCCCCCCCCGCTGGGTCGTCAGTTGCAGTGGTCTGGATTTGTCTTCTTGTCCAGGCCTCCCAAGTGGGGTCCGAATAGATGGGGTCGAGGGATCCCTTCGCGTCGCCGGTGCATCGACGATGGATGCGGTTCGACGTGGAGCCAGAATTACCCCACGCCCATGGCGCCGATGCATCGCCGACGTCGCCGATGCATCGCTGATGTATCTCCGCTGTATCGCCGACGTATCGCCGATGCATTGGTGATGCATCGCCGATGCATTGGCAGTGCATCGGACTGGCCTTGCGGCGCGAGCCTCCGACCCCGTCTATTAGGACCCCATCTAGGAGGCCTCTCGAGACAGCGAGGGTGGACACGAGGCCGATGACCAGTAGGGGGAAGAGGACGGGGAGGACGAGGAGAGGGAGGAGGAGGAATGGATATGAGGACGAGGACGAACGCGAGAAGAAGCAGCGGGCCGAGCAGGGGGAGACTGAAAGGAGGAGGGAGGACGTTCAACAGGTGCATAGAGTAGGCAGAGGAGAAAGAGGAGAACAGGCAGGGGGACGAGCATGAGACGGAGGGCATCGAGCAGGTGACGAAACTGTTGGGGAACAAGTTTAGAGACTCGAGCAGATCGCGGAGCCAGGACGTTGCGATGGACATCTCCCAGAGGAGGGACGCCCGCGCCAACTCCAAGAGGCTCGGTCCAGGTGCAACCTCCCATCACGCGACGCCAAGAGGTCCAGGGCGGAAAGCTGCGCACCACCATCTGGCCTCTGCACGCCCACCTTGGGACCCAGGTCTTGGATGTGGCCTCCAAGGCGGGCTTGTAGAGTCTACCTGGTGGCGGGTGCTGCCCTTCTCCTCAAGAGGCTCGGTTCACTCCAACTACCTGCGGACCAACGTGCGAGCCAGCTCAATGTCCTCACCTTAAGAGCCCAGGCCTCCGACGGCTCGATGTTGATCGAGTCGCCGTTCCGGGAAGCTCCCCACCCCGTCCCCAGGGCAGGCTTTTCATCCTGAGCCGTTCTTCGACGTTGCTGCGGACCGGACCTGGCCCCGTCGGGCCGAATCTGATTCAATGCCGCCAGCCCAACGTCGCCGGAGGACCGGGACGTCCCTCGCCCGTCGTCGCCGCGGAGGTCCCCAGAGGTCTCTGGCGGACCCCTCCTCCTCTTGGTCCTCCTCCTCCTCCTCCTCCTCCTCCTCCTCCTGCTCCTCCTCCTCCTGCTAGCCGTTCTGGCTCTGGCGGGGGTAACCCACAGGTTCCGCAGGCGCAGTTCAGAGGACTCTTCTGCGGGGAGCCATTTCTGGGTTGCGAGCGCGGGCGGCGACGAGGCTATGAAGAAGGTGGCCGTCGGCAAGCCGCTTCTCATCGCCCGCCGCGGGAACGTGGAGTTCGAGGTGTACGCGTACACCGTCGCGGACGCCATGGTTGCCGGGTTCTTCGCTGGAGCAGCGGAGGGCGAGTTCGAGGTCTTGGGAGGAGGCTCTGGGTCAGGGATCGAGGGGGCCCTGAATGCCACGGGGGGCCCGCAGCGCGTCGCTGCGAGTCCGCCCTGTCCAGGCGCACCCTCGGCAAAGACGCGGCCGCCGACCCAGCCCTGGGATGCGGTCGCAGCGCGAGGGGGGGCCAACGAAGAGGGAGCGGGCGGTTCGCCGGCGTCGTCGACGGCGGTTCCGACGACCCCCTGCCTGGACGATGTCGTCCGCGCACAGGGCGCCACCGCGCGCGCGGGCGCGCGCCGGGCGGGCACGGGCCGTGCTGCCGCGGGGGGCGTCGCCGCCGGGGGCCCGCAGGGTCCCCGTTCTCCGAGCGGGGCGAGGTCAAGACGGTGGTGCGAACCGTTCGGGCGGAGGAGGAGGAGGAGGAGGAGGAGGAGGAGGAGGAGGAGGAGGAGGAGGAGGAGGTCTATCCACCTCCGATCCCAAACGCCGCCCTCCCGGCGGGCGCCCCCGGCGCCGAGGTGCCGACGGTGCTGCGAACCGTTCGGGCGCCGTTCGCGGTGGGCCGCGCGAGCAGCGACGGCGAGGCCCTTCTCGTGGACGCGGACGGGGCCGAGCAGGTTGACTTGCAGAAGTTCGCGAACGCGGAAGTGAAGGACGACGAAGCCCTTCTCGAGGGCGCGGACGGCGCCGAGCAGGAGGTCGAGGTGCAGGGGTTCGCGAACGTGGCCGAGAAGGGCAAATACTTCGACGCGGTCGCGGAGGCGTTCGCCGAGGACCTCGTGGAAAACCGCGCGCAGGCGTTGCGTTGCAAGCGGTGCGGAGATGGAGTGGCTCATCTGCCCGATGGAGGCGCTCCCCAGGGCGCCGGCGGAGTTCGTCGGCACGGTGGGCGTGGTGGAGAAGATTATCTCGGTGACTCCTTTTTTCGGGCCCCAGGTGGCGCCCCCTGTGGAAGCAGGATATGGCGCTTTCCAGGACATTGCTGGGCGGGCGTGGGGGCAGGCACTGGCTGCTATGCTGCTTTTTTCCGCCCTGGGAGCCGCGCGACCGCGTCGTGGGTTGTCCTGGCGATGCGGCGGCGGAGGCGGCGGAGGAGGTGCAGGAAGCAGTCCGAGGAGGCTCTGGTGGTAGAGGGCCCCGCGCGCCGACCGCAGAGGTGCAGGAGGACCTTGCCGAAGGTGCTGCTTTGGGCTGTCCCCGTGAGGCAGGGCCGCGTCGACCCCGCAGCATCACGGCGCCTCTGGAAGGAGGTCATCGGGGAGGCCGCGGAGAAGGGGTTCATCAAGTCCCATCCGTCGTTTGCGGCCCTCCTAGAGTCCTGGTGCGAGCGCGTCTTCGTGCACGTGCAGCGTGGTGCGCTCCCGGAGGCGTGCGGCAAGGCCGATGAGGACAGGCTGTTGGCCATGGCTGGCCAACCAGGCCCAGGGCGTTCTCGACGGCGGTTCCGCTTTGCGTGGCAGGGCAGGTACCTGGAGATGTTCGGCGAGACCGGCGACACCTTCGAGGTCGAGCACTTGGCGGAGATGGTGCCCGGGGCTGCGGGGGGAGGGCGGCGATAATACCTGGCCAGTTTGCCGGTCGTGCCGCCGCCCTCTCCCACGCGGTGTTCGCTGGCAGCGGCACCGAGTGTGAGCAGTCGGAGCTCTGAGCTGCGAGGTTGTGGCCGAGCAGCTGCCGCCGCGGCGGCAAGGCGGGCACCCGTCAGCCTCAGGTTGCATTCCGTTCCCTGCTCCGCCCGATCGCCGTCGGCACCGTCCCATGCGGTCGAGAGGGGTTGCTCATCGCAGACCCTCGCTCGCCCCAGCGCTCCGTGCTCCCGATGATCCAGGACGGGCTCGATCAGGCCGCCGCGCCAAGCCCGGGCGACGATCGACGGCCATGCTGCCAATCAGGCGTTGCTCCGCTGGTAGGGCGCCTCGGGGCTGACCGTGCCAGGTGGGCCAGAAGCAGGATCGGCCCTGGCATTGCAGGCGGAAGCTCGGCCTTGTTGGTGTGCGCCCTCCGGGGCTGGCCGGTCGCGGGCGCCAGGGCCATCCAGAAGCGGCTTGGGGCGAGACCTATAGCCCCCTGGGGGAAGGGGTCGAGATGTTTGGGGCGCGAGAGTACGAGAGAAACCACGACGTCAGAGGTTTGGGGGTCGGGCTGGGTCGGCGAGCGGAGAGGGGGGGGGGTTGTTCGAGGAGGACGAGGGGGACGAGGATGGTAATTCGTGTTTTTTTCCGCTTTCTCCTCCCCCCCCTTTCGTCTCTCCCTCCCCCCCTCCCTCTCCTTCTCTCTCCTCCACCCGCTGCCCTTCTCTTACGGTTAAAGGAAACGCGTGCAATAACTACGCCAGAATTAGAAAGAAGAGCCAAAGCCCCACCTCCATTCCCTGGATTGGCCCCGCTTCTCCAGGCGCGCTCGTTCAACATTGAGGCCGGGGGGGCGGAGGGGTGTCATGCGAAGTCGTCCCCCTACGATAGTTGCGCAGTTTTTCTCCCAGCGCGCGTGGACGACAAGTGCCTCCCATTTTCCCTGGCATGGGCGGGACAGAACGGGGATGGGAGGAAAGGATAAAAGGGGATTCTGGGGAAGGGGGGAGGGCCTGAGCGAGCGCACCCGGCTGAGCGCCGGCCACCATCAAACAACTTACGCGCGCTCATGAAATGCCAGCGGCATGGCGTGGGCCGCGCACGTGCCACATGCGGCCATTACGCGGTCTACTGCACATTTGTTTGTTCCTGGGCGCCGAGCACCTGGTGTATATCGACACAGGTTTCCAATGGATTGTATCACTTGTACACTGCCAGGATGTGGGGCCCATGTGTTCAGTTTTTTTAGCCCACGTGAGGCCCACGCGTGGCCCACGTGAGGCCCGCGCTGGGACGCCAGTCCGCTTGCATGTGTCTGCTTGGGCGCTACGGTAAGCCTGATGATTTGATTTGCTGGATCGGATTTCGCCACCAATGGTTGTAACTTGCTTGACGCCGCGCCAAATCCCTAACAGCAGCCGGACGACACATGCATGTTGTGGCGCCCCGACCACCTGCATGGTATGGCGCCTAATCCGCACTTCCCTTGTGGAATCATAGATTTAGCTTGCCAGTCGAAGGCCTTTTGGATCGAACTCATGGTGCGATTTGTGGTTAAGATAGTATGTGTCTAGGCGGCTCCCGCTCCAAGAATATGGGTTCAAACAACCGACGAGATCAACCCACGTGTTTCTCACACATAAGTAATGGGATCAGATTGGGCCCGTGCTTTTCCACGCGCGCGAGCAATTTTTTGGCCTGAGCACGCATGTCGTGCAAACTATGGGGTGTACAGCCAGCATGTTACCAGTGAGAACGGCACGTGCGGAACGAATGGTTTTCTGGCAACAGTGAGCCTCGGACACGAGAGTTGTCCTTTTGGCGTAGACGTAAGGAACCGTCCGAAAACTGAAACCCCTTCTGAACCCAGGGTGGTCGTAACTTCAGCGACTTGATTGTAAACTATGTGGTTTGTGAAGCGCGGAATGTGTCTTTTTTTGTGACGCGACGCGGCAGAGGCAATCCGCACGCGCGTCCGAGCGATTCCGGGGAGTGCAGTCGCGAATTCTTGAGTTGAAGACAAGAGGAGGAGGCGGCCGCGGCAGGGCGGAGGGTGCGCGGGGGCGCACTCACGCAGCGGGGCTGCGGTGGGTGCGAAGGCGCGGCCAGGCTTTGGGTCCATTTTGGCAGCGGGTGCGGGTCGGCTTCGCGGCGCACCCAGTGTGGGAGGGCAGCGGCCACGGTGTGGTCGTGGTCCAGCAAAGCAAAGGTGGAGGCGGCGGCGGCGGCTGAAAACCATGTGGCCAACGGGTGGCAGCGGCGCAGAGCCGGCGGCCAGAGGTCGGGCAACGCTGCAGCAATTGCGAGGGGCCCCAGGCGGTGGCGGGTGCGGTTTCCCCGGGGCGGGGGCGGCCGGCGGGCGCCAATCGTGGGGCCCATCGGGGGCAGGGGCGGGACGAAAGTATAGGAGCGGCGCTCCACAGCCGATGCACGGCATCACAGCAGGGAGCTACGCGTCGCCCAGTGCAAATGGCGCACGAGCGGGACCCCTCAGAGGCAGGGGGCGGGCCCAGCCGGCCGCTCAGGGTGGCGGCGTGGGCAAGGTGGGGGCGAGCCGCGCTGGCGGTGCCCCCCCTGGCGGGGCAGCTGGACCGCGGCCGGGGCAAACCGGCCGGTGGCGCCGGAACCGCAGCGCCGGTACGACCCGGCGCGCGCACTGCCCAACAGCGGGGGCGGTGTGCGGGAGAGGGCGGTCCGCCCAAGGCAGGTGGAATCATGCACGGCCTGGGACGGCGGTGGGGGTCGAGCCGCATAGCGGGCCGACCAGGGGGGAGGCGGGGCAGCGGCCGGCGGGAGCCGGGGCGGCACAGCCCGCAACGGCGGAGATGCCCAAGTGGGCAGCAGGCGCTGCAGGCCAGGGTGGAGCCCCTGTCGTCCGCACGGGCTGCAGGGAGCAGCACCGGCGGGGGCGGCCGGGCGGGATAGACAGACAGGCGTCCAAAGAGGCGTGCGTTGAAGAACGGGGGCGGGGCCACGCAGCGCAGGCTCTGATTCCCCCCCCCGTGGCCGTTGGAAAACACGAGAGCGTCCCCCGCCTTTTTGTTCACACATGTTCTGAAATACGTCTGTCTCAGACGACCCCTCGTTTTGACCCGAAAGATATCCCAAACACATTCCACGATGGGCAAACTTTCAAAAACATGCCATGCATTGCGAGCCCGTCGTTTTGACACCAGCAGCCTTTTGACACACGTTCGGCCTCTTTGGCGACCCCCGGAGAGAAGAACGAGAGCTTTCGGACGACCGAAAAGAAATCTTTGCAACAGCAGCGCCATAATTAGAAAGAGCCGAACTCCCCCCTCCGACCCCCAGATTGCGTTCGATATTCTGGGTTGTGTGGAGGACGAAGGAAGGTGGGGAAACATGTGGGAGGATTGGGGTTGGTGGGAGACGGTTGTCCAAGTTTCCCTCTTTCCTTCCTTCCCACTTTGCGCCGAATGCTCGTGAACCGCCTGCCCCCATTCCCATTGTTCCGCTCCGCCGCAGCTGGCGTGCAGGCTGCAATCGTAAGCGTAGTGTCATACATCCCTCGCTCCTCCTCTTCCCTCCCTCGTCTCTCCTACCTCCTTTTCCTGCTTCCCTCCCCTTCTTTCCCTCCCTCCTCGTGCGTCTTCCACCCCCAGCTATCGACCTCCAGTGTCGTACGCCTGCGCTTCGACTCCGACTTTCGACCCAACAAGCTCAACCTCCAGCCAGCAACCAGCCGCAGTGCTCCGGCTCCTGACACCAGCTCAACATTCCGACTTCTAGCATTTTCTAGCTTCCGGATTGTAAGCATGACGATTCTCGTGTGAGCCAGAGTTCTGTAGGGTTTGAGAGGCTACGGCCTCACGCGCCTCGCCCAAACAGGCACAGGTTCACGCGTTTCGCCGCATGAGCTTGCATCAGCGCCTCACTCGCTCGCTCATCCTGCGTCCCTCGCCCGGCTCGCGAGCGGCGTTCTGCCGAGGTCTTCGGTCGCGCAGGGCGTGGACACCACCAGGGCCGCGAGCCTGGCGAGGATGGTCGCGCAGGGCGTGCCGAAGGGCAGCCCGTTTATCGATGGCGGGATCGTCGTCCTGGAGGCCTTGCTTCGCCTAGTCCTCCCACGTGGGGTCACAGCAGTTGGGGTCGGTGGATTGCGCCGCATCGCCGACGCATCGGCAATGCGGCTCGATGTGGAGCTCGATTTGTTCCGCGCCGCCGATGCATCGGCGATGCATTGGTGATGCGGCGCGATGCTTCCTTCCACCCCATGTGCTCGAACCCCATCTGGGAGGGGTCCAGTGTCCAGGCGCCCGTCTTGAGCGGCTGTCGGGTCTGAGGAGGTCGGGGTGTTCGAGGCCCCGAGGGGGTGCCTCGCGGCCGTTGGCGAATACGAAAAGCTCGGTCCTCGAACCCCTGGAGTCCTCGAACCCTCGGGTCCTCGATCCTCGAGGCCTCGATCCTCGAAGGTTCGCTCCTCGAAGCCTCGCTCCTCGAAGCCTCGGTCCTCGAAGCCTCCCAGGTCGCCGCCGTCGCCGGGCGAGGTGCGCGCCGCCCCCCTCCCCGCAGGGTCCTCCGCGCGGGTTAGCAGCGGCGCGCCTCTCCTGGGGCCGCCTCGCGGCCGCAGCCTTCGAAGTTCTGGCCAGAGCGCCCTCCAAGGGAGACCCGCGCAACCGATGTTTGAGTTGGAGGGTCCAGATCCCTGGCGTCACGCAACAACAAATCTACGACGGCCCCCATTCCTTTGTCAGAGCGTCCTCGGGCCAGTGCCAGGTCCCATAACCTTACATAACAAATGGTACTTGATGGCAACAGATGCACTGGATGAGCCATTTGTCTCCATGATGGTGTCGATAAGGCCAGTGGCCCACGTCACGGAACAGGTCGCGGTGTTGGATGGCTTGATAATTCAGGAGGCATCCTTCTTCAGACAGCATGTCAGCGCACATCGGAAGCTGGACAATGCAGCCCGGGGTGTTTCTGTTGCTTCGAGCCTGCGGTCAAGAACTTTTGCTCGGCGTGTCGCCCCGCGGGTTTTGGTCCACAACGCCTCTGCGCGACACGCCATCCACGGCCCAGTCCCCAGCCGTCCACGTCCCGAGCCTTTTCCGACCTCCCGCCCCGCGGAGCGGTGCGACACGCTGCCCCGTCGCAGGGAATGGCGTGTCGCCGGGGCCGCCGCGGCGACACCCTGAGAAGCAGCTTCCGACCGTAGCACCCGTGCGGAGCACAGCGACGGGAAGGAGGAGGAATGGGCGGAGAACGAGGGGGAGGGATGAGGAGGGACGAGGAGTGGGAGGAGGACGACGCGGATGAGGAGAGAGGGAGGGAGAGGAGGAGTGGGAGGAGGTGGAGGAGGAGGAGGAGGAGGCGGAGGAGGAGACAGGAGGGAGGGAGAGGAGGGGGAGGCGGAGGAGGAGGGGGGAGGAGGGAGAAAGGGGGAGAAGGAGGAGGAGGAGGAGGAGGAGGAGGAGGAGGAAAGGAGGAGGAGGAGGAGGAGCAGGAGGAGGAGGAGGAGGAGGAGGAGGAGGAGGAGGAGGAGGGGAGGAGGAGGAGGAGGAGGAGGGAGGAGGGAGGTAGGAGGGAGGAGGGAGGAGGAGGAGGGAGGAGAGGAGGAGGAGGAGGAAATAGGAGGGAGGGAGAGGAGGGGGAGGCGGAGGAAGTAAGAGGAGGAGGAGGAAGAGGAGGAAGAGGGGACATGAGGGACAGAGAAGGAGGAGGAGGCGGAGGAGGAAGAGAACGAGGAGGAGGGAGGAAGACGAGGAGGAGGAGGAGACAGGAGGGAGGGAGAGGAGGGGAGGCGGAGGAAGAGGAGGAGGAGAGGAGGAGGAGGAGGAGGAGAGGAGGAGGAGGGAGAGAAGGAAGGAGGAGAGGAGGAGACAGGAGAGAGGAGGAGGAGGGAGGAGAAGGAGGGAGGAGAAGGAGGGAGGTGGAGGAGGAGGAGGAGGAGGAGGAGGAGGAGGAGGAGAAGGAGGAGGAGGAGGAGGAGGAGGAGGATGAGGAGGAGGAGGAGGAGGAGAAGGAGGAGGAGAAGGAGGAGGAGGAGGAGGAGAGGGGCAGGATTGGGAGGAGTGAGGAGCGGCTCCCCCCAGCAGGGGTGCGGCGTACGGAGATAGCAGCGCCTCTCTCGTCTTCAGGAGCTCTCGGGCGGCCAGAGAACCACATCTCAAGGTCGCCTGTGGCGGTGGCAGGAGCTCAGGAGCGGGAAGACAACCCGCGCCTCGTATTGCGCGATGCGCGAGTTGAGAAGGCTCTGGGCGAAGAGCAAGAGGGAGGAGTCCTCTTGCGCCCTCGTCCTCGTGCTCCCATTCCTCCCCCCTCCATCCCTCCCTCCCGCAGAAGGAGCCAGCCTTCTGCAAGCCCGCGGAGACTTGGGGCTGCCCCTTGCTTTAATTCGAGTTTTACGGTTCGCTGGGCGCGGGGAAGTGTCGTTCCATTTTCTATTTCAGCTTATTTTGGCCTCGTCCCTCACCCTCCCCCCTCCCTCGCTCCTCCTGTCTCCTCCTTCCCCCCTCAGTCCCCCTCGCCCCCCGCCCTTGCTTGATGCTCCCCCTTCCCCCCTCCTAGGGCAATGTCGGCATGGGCAAGATAGAGCTGGCAGAGGAGATGGTAATGTACACCCATCAGAACCTGTACATGGTGCCCATCTTCGGCTCCATCGGCCCCCGCCTGAACGACATAGAACGCCTCGGTGTTGAGCTGCTGCTGAGCACCATCGGCGCCTTTCGCCACCTTGACAGATCGGTGCCGCAGGAACTCTTCCCCTCTCCCAGACATGCGACGTCGTCACTTTCTCAAAACGTACGGGCCCTCCTGGCCTATCTCTCTCGACCCCATTCTGGGAATTGTTCTTTCATGCCGAGTTGTTCTCTGACGGCTCTGGAGCCACAATCTGCCCGCGGAATTTGATTTGCTTTGCTCCCTGGACAGGTTGATTGTGGTGGTCGTGTCTACTTCCCTGACAGCTTGTTGGTTGGTAAGGGTTCAAGATCGGTAGATTTAGTTCAGAGGCCGGGTGTGAGCCTGTCAGATCTGGAGTCAGCGTCTCGTGGTCTCTCGTGTGGTCTCCCGTGTGGGCTCCCGTATGGTCTGCCGTGTGGTCTGCCGCACGGTCTCCCCCAGGGTCTGCGGCGTGTGGCCTCTCGGATGGTTTTTGTGCCCCGTGGTCTCCCGTCTGTTCTCCTGCAGGCGTTGCCGCATGTTCTCCCGTGTACAGTAGGACCGAGGCATAAGATCGAGGCCGGTTCGGGGAGGGTGCCCTGATGTTATCCGTGCTTGATGGATGTTCTTGTGTATCTCGGGGTCTCGGGGGAGTGCACCCTTGAATGTTCGTCAACTTGTCCAGCGGAGGGTCTCGTGTTCTCGAAGGATGTCATTATGTCTTGGGTTGAGCCGTGTTCCACACGTTGTCTCTACAATTGATCGTGAAGGCCTGCGGAGGGGGAGGAGGAGGAGAAGGAGGAGGAGGAGGAGGCGGAGATAAGGAGGAGGAGGAGGAGGAGGAGGAGGTGGAGGAGTACGAGGAGGAGGAGGCGGAGGAGGAGGAGAAGGAGGAGGAGGCTGGAGAAGGAGGAGGAGGAGGAGGCGGAGATAAGGAGGAATAGGATCATTTATATTGTTGTGAGTATTTTGCTCCAGGGTGTAAGGTGTTCAAGGCCGGGGGTGTGGGCCCTTCAGGATCCGGAATCGGTGGCTCGTGGTCTCCCTTGCGTTTTTTTGTTTCTCGTGGCCTTATGGCCTCCAAGTATGTTTCAGGAGGGGGGAAACACACAGAGACAATTAATCGTCGACTCCCAAGAAAGTATGGGAACGTATGAGAAGTGGGGGGAAGACGAAGATCCGGAAAATATGGGAACATATGGGGAATCCAGGGATTTGTGTGTATTTATGTGTGTGTGTCTTTGGGCCCTCTGAATGTTATCCCGCATGGTCTCTTGTCTGGTTCTTTTCTACGAGCCTATTTTCATCACAACATACTTCAATCATCGAAGTGACATGATTTGTGCAAACTTCAGCGGAACATGTGCTGCCAATCCCGCTGCCGAGCTGATGCAGCTGCTTTTGCCTGATGTCGGAGCCTAAATTGGAAAGCTTCAACAGCGCGACAATCAACAACATCTCCTGGCAGATGGATGAAAACCCTGACCATGCTGAAAGCGGACCCTCTCGCATTGCAGCGTGACCTGGCTCTAGCGGGTCGAACAGAGACTGGTTGCGACATTTGAGGGTCGTGTTGAAACCGGAACTTTCCAGTTCCCCAATGGTTGGCCAGCATAATGCGGACATGTCAGGAGGAACCACACTTGTACAAGTTTCGAACACATACCTAAGATGGCAGTCTCGCGGCGCATGCTCAGAGGTGCTTATTCGTGCTCACGCAGCGCAGCCTCTTCGGAAATACCGATGTCGTTCAGGAGCTCGTCTTGCAAGCCATCCACTGCAGCGCACCCCGCTCAGGGTGATACATCGTCCTTTTGACGTAGGAGAATATATGGCACTTCTGCATCCTGATAAGCTTGTGGTTGCAATTTAAATGCCTTGCCCAGAGAAGCGCGCGCAGGCGCCAGCCTCCCTCAGCAGCGTGATGTTGCGTTGCCAGGTGCAAGTCAAAAGAAGGATCGAGTCGGGCGCCCCGTGGTTCGAGTTGTCGATGATGTGTATGCTCTTTTTGGTTGGTTCAAAATCCATGCGGTAATCGTGTCCCGAGGCATGAAGAGCCGCTTGACATGTGGATGCTTCAGAGAGCAACGTGTCGTTGCGAGTTGAGCCGGGAAATGCGCGCAAAGAGTCCAAATCGTTTGCGAAAGTGGCATCGCCGAGTTTGTGTTGTAGGACAACGCCACGAGCATTTGCATTGTAGACGTTCCAAAGTGGAGTGCCCAGGACAGTGCCTTGAAATTCCATGTCATGCAACTCGCAAGCGTCAGTCAAGACACCATCCACCACGACATGGGCAGCCCTTGAGCCAAGTCAAGATGAGAGCACGAGGACGAATGCACTGTTGATTCATTTCGCTTCCAGCTTGTCGACAGGACGGTCCGCCCGCACATGGTCGAACGCGCCAGGCACATCCCAGCTGTGCGCGACAACGCGTTTGCCATGACCAATCTCCCTTTGCAATTTGCAAGCAGAATATTGCAGCTCGTCTTTGTAACTTCTTTGGGCGGCGTTCGATTGGCATTCCGAGAAGTCGTTGCCGGTTGCAGGCAAAGGCGAATTTCAGAGAAGCGCGCCTTGAACTTGCTAGCCTCGTCTTTGGGGCGGTCGCCCGCTGCCCAGAAGAAGTCTGAAGGAGGCGGGGCGGGGGCGAAGCCGAAAGCCCGCGCCGTGACACTTGAGCGCAACATGAGCGCCGCCACTGTTTCGAGGAAGGCTGGAAAATAAGAGCGCGCCGCCGTGCGCGGGCGGCATATTGGTTGAAGTTCGCCCAAGAACAATTTGAACAACACTTCTTCTTGTCGGCGTAGTCCTGGGTTCCTTCTCGTCGATGAGCCGCGGGCGCCTGTCGCCCAGCCGCGGGCGAGGAGACCCGCGGAAAGTACCCCGCCGAGTAGTGATATAGTGCTCCGCAGTTGGTGCGCTTGGCGGCCGCGCCGTCGGCGTTGCGATCCTGAAGACAAGTGCATCAATCCGTATTCACAGAAGCGTCTTGGAGGGGGTCCCAACCAGCTGCGCCGCCCATTCAACGCTGTCTGCCGGTTGGCGCCGAAACGCTCGCGCGAACAGCCAGCTTAACAATGGCGATGTTGCGCCCGCTGGCGCGGGGCACAGCTGGGCAAGTTATGCCAGAGATGAGGTCCTTGAGAACGGGTTCCAACAAGCAGTTGTCTCGAGTGCGCTTCCATTTTTTGCTCTCATGCCTGATCTGCCGCGCGTTGCCTGCCGCCCCCCTCCCATCGAGTTGCCGCTCGAATGCCGGGGCCGACGCTGGCCGTGGACGTCCGCGTCGCCAACTGCCGCGCCAGCAACATTGAAGTCTTTCAGCGTCGCCCATTCGGCTTCGAAGGCGCGCGTCGACGCGCGCTCTCCATTGCAAGTGGGGCAACGCCACGCAGCGAGAACCATTGGTCCCTAATGCGCGCGAACAACGTGCCATGACCTCTCATGATCGCCCAGGGCAAGATATGAATGACATATGGTGCGCATTTGAGGTCGGAGAGTAGCAGCGAGCCCCCTCCTTTCCTCTCGATTGAGTTCGGCGCCCGCGCTAGCATGCCGCGAACGTTCCCCATGCACGAACGCGTTCATTATTTTCACTTCGCGGCCATGTATCCCGTTGATATTAGGGCCGAGCTCGAGGAGAGCCTCTCAGACTCTTCGACTTCTTCGGAGGGGCCATGTGGCATTCCCAAGACGCCCGCTTGAAGCAAACGTCGCCCTGGCACTCGCCTCGGGACCGTCAAAAAAGATTCAGGATGAAAAACTGGTCCCCGGGAAGGGGTCCAGACCTTTGGGAGTTGACGTTGCGAACGAAATCACGACGTCGGGGGTATGGGAGCCCCGGACCCCATCTTTCCGCGGTACTTTTCGAGCCGACTCGATCTTCTGGTTGACCCAAACGGGGGTCCAGCGACAAGGGGGTGGTGCAACAGACTTGGCGCAACAGATCTGTGGGGTTGCAATCGATTTGCGGTGTGCAGTACATTCGGTGCGCAAGTGTATTGCCGGGTTTTCGCGTGTAATGCGTTAGCTGCAATACAATGCAACACAATTATCTGGCGCAATACATTTGCAAAACAATTGCCCCTAACCTAATGCAACACCCCCTTTCAGCTGGGCCCCCTCGTGGGTAAACCAAAGCTCTGTGAGGGCCCTGGGGCCCGAGACTGGGTGAAGACGCCCCTTGTGCAAAAAATGCAGCGCCAGGATCTCAGGGAGCGCGCGTCCGCTGCTGTGCCGCGCCCGCGGGCGCGGCCCAGTGCTCGGGAGCGGGGGCGGCGGGCGCAGTTGGCAGGGCTTGCGTGGGGGGCGGTGTCCTGGCGGCAGCATGGCGGGGAGAGCTGCCCGGCCCCTCCGAAACGAGTCTATCCGGCGCGCCGAATGGACCCCATCGAGCGCGCGGTGTGGGAGGTCCTCACAAATCGGCCCGCACAAGATGATGGAGCATATCCGGCGCCGAATGGGCCCTCGAGATCAGAGCCCGTCCGGCGACGAAGGAGTCCATCCGGCGTCAAACAGGCCCAGACATTTGCAGATGATTTTTTCAATCCGCGGCCCCAGAGGTCCCGACCCCTTCCCCGGGGGTGGTTTGTCGTCCCGGATCCATTTTTGATGGTCTCGGGTGCCCGATCACGGGCCCTGGAGGCCGAAATCCAAGAAAATCCGCCGGATTGAAACAATCAAATCCTCGGATCTTTGGGGAGGCCATCCGGCGAGCCGATACGCGCCGCCTCGTCGCGGGGGACCGCGGGACTCGATCAGGCGGGGACCTCTTCTCCGGGGCCGTCCTCCCAGCCCGGGCCGGCTTTCGCGGCGGGCGGTCCCCACAGCGGCTGCGCGCTGGAGGGGCCAGTTGCGCCCCGCAGCGGCTGCGCGCCACAGGGGGTCCCTCCCGAGGCAGGGTCTCCCCAAACCAACCGGGTCGTTCCAAACCATATGTTGCGAGGCAAGACGACCAGGTCTGCCCATACCAAATCCGGGTCTTCCCAAACCAACCGGGTGTTCCCAGACCAATCGCCCGGGTCTTCCCAAATTAAACGGGACTCCCCAAACCAACCGCCCAGGTCTTCCCAAACAACCAACCGGGTCTTCCCAAACTAGTGTCCCAGATTTTGTCAACCAGTTGGGTCTCCCCAAACCAATCCTCAGGTCTTCCTAAACCAATCGGGTCTTCGTCTGGCTCTCGTTCTCGCCTTCGTTTTCGCTTTGTTCTCGTTCTGTGTTAGCCTTCGTTCTCGTCCTCATTCCCGCCTTCGTTCCCGCTTGTGCCTTGTTCTCATTCTCGCCTTCGTTCTCTCGCCTTCGTTCTCGCCTTCGTTTCCGCCTTCGTTCTCGCCCTCATTCTCGCCTTCGTTCTCGCCTTCGTTTCCGCCCTCGTTCTCGCCTTCGTTCTGGGCCTTCGTTTCTGTCCTCTGTCTCGCCTCCATTCTCGCCTTCATTCTCGTCTTCGTTTTCGCCTTCGTTTTCGCCATCGTTTCCGCCATCGTTCCCGCCTTCGTTCTCGCCTTCGTTCTCGTTTTGGTTTCCGCTATCGTTCCCGTTTTCGTTCTCGCCCTCGTGCCCGCTCTCGCATCCGCCCTCCTTCCCGCCTTTGTTCCCGCCGTGTTCCCTGTTTTGTTCCCGCCTTTGTTCCCACTCTCGTGCCCGCCTTCGTCCTCGCACTCGTTCCCGTCTCATTCCTGCTTTGATGGGGGGGGCCCTGCCAACCGCTTGCTCCGCCTGGGAGTTGAGGAGCGTCGACGTGCAGCAACCGCAGCGAAGGCGCTCAAGGTTCGCAACTGGCCGGAGTGTTATCGCCATTGTTCCCGTCTATGTTTCGTCATCGTTCGCGCTATTTTTTGCCGCCTTCGTTCTTGCCTTCGTTCTCGCCTTCGTTTTCGCCTTCGTTCTCGCCTTCGTTCTCGCCCTCGTTCTCGCCCTCGTTCTCGCCTCCGTTCTCGCCTTCGTTCTCGCTTTCGTTTCCGCTTTCGTTTTCGCCTGCGTTCTCGCGTTCGTTCTCGCCTTCGCTCCGTTTTTGTTCTCGCCTTAGTTTCCGCCCTCGGTCTCGCCCTCGTTCTCGCCTTTGTTCCCGCCTTCCGTCGCCTTCGTTCTCGCTCTCGTTCCCGCCTTCCTTGCCGCCGTCGTTCCCACCTTCGTTCTCGCCTTCGTTCTCGCCTTCGTTCTCGCCTTCTTCCCCGCCTTCGTGCTCGCGTTCGATATCGCCCTTGTTCCCGTTTTCGTTCGCGCCTTCGTTCTCTCCTTTGTTTTCGTGGATGTCGACATCGTTCTCGGCTTTGTTCCCGCCTTACCTTCGTTCTCGCCTTCCTTCTAACCTTCGTTCCCGCTCCCGTTCCCAAACCACGCGTCCAGGTTTGCTGGTTCCCAAACCGCGTTCGGTTGAGAAGTTCTCAAACCGAGATTCCGAGTGTTGCCAAACCGCCTGGGTCTTCCTAAACGAACCGCCCGGTCTTCCCAAACCAGCCATGTCTTCTAATTTCCCCCTCCAGACTCCCTCGCGCCATGATAAAATCACGACGGGGGGGGGTCGCCGTTTTCGGCCTCTGGGGGTCCTAAGGTCGGGGCCGTCTAGAAACGGCTCGGGATGAAATACTGGTCTTGGGCAAGGGGTCGAGACCTCTGGGGGTCGACGTTGAGGGGGAACAAAAAAACGTCCGGGGTAAGCCGAGCTCCTCATGTTTTCTGCCCAGGGCCATTCTTGTGTGCAGCGGCCTCGAGACATATGTGTTCCCGGCGGCGTCTGGACCCGATGCGGCAGCTGGGCGCCGCAGGACCCCTTGCAGGCCTTGGCGAAGCTGCTGCCCAGTGACGGCGACGACGACTTGCAGGAGGACTCGATCCGCGGCCCCCTTGCGCCAGGGAGGAGGGGGGGCCTCCCTCCTCCCTCCTCCTTCCTCCTCCTTCCTACTCCCCCTTCCCTCCGCCCTGAGTCGGCGTTGGAGGCTCAGACACTTAGAGAATCGACGGAGAGAGGAGTTGCTAAGACTCTCTCACGCGACGACCGCCCCGCAATCGCACGGGCCAGAGAGGGAGCTAATGGGGCATGGCAGATGGATGGCGATTGCAGCGCTCTTGTCACGGGCGCTGTCGAAGCTGATATTACACAATCCTCTTGCGGCAAACGCCACGGACATATAGGAATATATGTATATATGCAATGCACCACGAGAGTGGGATGCGATTGTGCTGACAAGGACTCACCAACGGGCTGGGCCAGAGCCGATGAAAAGACGAAGCACAAATATCATACGGCATTGCAGTTCGGGGCGAAGGGAAAACGGATCAACAAGTCATGTGGTGCGACGCTCCTGGTTTCTAACGAGATGATGACAGACAGGGCCTTCCACGCGCAATACTCGCCTCCTGCCCAACTACAAGGTAGAACGGCAGGTTTCTGATTGAGGACAAGAGCGCACGACGTCACAATAGTAGCAGTCTGTACCGCCAGACAGACGGGCACACGAACAATGGAATGATTTCAACAAAAAAACATGACGCGTGTCGAGAAAAAGTGCGACGATAATGCAACGATGCAGGTGGCATGTGTATTATCACTGTGGGGCGGGACATCAACAGCCAGTTGGGGATGCATCGGTCAGACAGCAGGGGCCTGGTGGTCAGCAGGCACGATTCAAGGAAACATGCATCAGCAGTGGGACCAGTGGCTAAAGACGTGGAGAACGAAAGCGGCACAGCAGTCAGGGAATTCTGTGTTCACAGCCTTCTGTCGGTGGTCACGACCTTTATTGATTGTGGGCCGAATTTCTACCATGTAAAACAAACGAGAAGATGAGGCCGAGCAATATAGACCACATTGCAATACCGACGGGGGCGCTACCCCGCGTGCGGAGGTGCGCAGCACCGAGAGGAGTGGCAACGAGACTGCAGAATATCAAAGCGAGAGCACACAGAGACCATATCCCATTAAGCTTGGATATCGGATTGGAACACCACTCTCATGTCCCGGGCAATCACAGACAGCAAAGAGCAGACACAGAGGTGGACCGCAACATCCTGGCGGAGTGCTTGAGGAAAGGTCGACTGAAAGCAGGATTCTTGCGCGTTCGACCGCCACCAGCAGCCCGCCCAGTCACAGCAGCCAGGAGGAGCATTGGCGAGGTTCTCTCGGAGTGCGACCCAGGCTGGCCCTCCAGGTGAGCATTAACGAGGCTTTCTCGGAGCGCATCATAAGAAGTCCCTGCGGACCCCCAGGAGGAGCATTAGCGAGGTTATCTCGGAGTGTAGCTCATGGGGAGCTCGCGGCAGACGAAGATTGGAGTTAACTGCAGGCGCGCCCTACAGCAGATCATATGAAGATAAGGTGGAGCGAGGCGGGCAGAAACGCCATGAAAAGGGGCGTTCCTGGTCAGGAAGAAGAAAGGAGACAGGGGGGCGGCCGCAATCCAATTACTACAACACTCCCTACCAGCCGAAAAGAGGAAGCTAAGCGTGGACACGGTAGACCCTGACACGCAGGGGAGACTGGGGCAGATCAAGCAGGAGCTGGCGCAGATGCAATATGCGCCACGCAAGCGCAGGGCGGAGCTGGAAACGGCAAGAAACAAAGAAGCTCGCAGGGGAAATATGGAGGCATACGCGAACAACGACTCCAGCGATGCGCGCGGGTTCGAGGTATACTATCAGAGGCTTGGCGAGGGCCAAACGTCTTTATATTATTTCTAAGCGCGGGCCTGGTGGAGCACGGGGGAGTGGCTCATTGAGCGGGGCGAGCGCCCCCTATGAAAGGGGGGTCGGTCGGCAGCCGAGCTGGTGGATTTGGAAGAGTATGAGAAGGAGCATGATGAGATGATCGCAGAGGATGCCGCATCCACTGGATATGGAGCTGAGAGCACAAGTGGAGAGGTACAAGAGAGACATGTGATAGTACTTCACGACAGCGGCAAGAAGGCGAGCCTTCCCCCCGTGGGGCGTGCCAGTCGAACTTGCGGACGACACGAGAACCCGCAGTCAACCTGGAGGGCCGCGAACAGCCGAGCAATAAGCTAGAGGAGCAAAACATGCGAGCGGCGGAGAAGCGCGATGACGAGGCGGACTTGGACATGTACATCGCGCTTTGCAGACGCTAAGTGGGAGGGTCTATGCAAAAGAAGATGGTTGGATATCCGGCATGGCTTTGGGCGCTGGGAACAGCGTGGGCGACGGCGAGGCTTTGGGGGCGACAGAAAACAAAGCGTGCCACCTGGGGGGATGCGAGAAGGCTGGGCCGGGATCTTCTGCGCTGAAAAAAGAAGCGAGCACGGGGCGCAGGGGCGAGCTGGAAGGCATCTGATCACGGGCCGCCAATCGCAATCCACGCCGCTGGACTGGCGCGGGCCCGTTGACTTTGCAGCGGAGACGGGCAATCAAAAGAAGGAATAGGAGGGGGAACAGTCATGCGCGCCTCATGCGCACTTGGAATGGCTTTTTCAAAAAATGGCACCCGTCCCAGAGGACCCGCACCGAAGAACCCATGCTCGGCACAGGCAGGGCTGAGGAGCAGATCGGTGGAGCACGCGATTACTTGCGCTGATGTTACACAGCGGCGAGCAAGACAAGCAGGGGCGAGCGCTATCACAAGGGAGAACGATTGTACGAATGCATTCGCAAGTGCGAAACGGCCCCTACCAGTGGCATCAGTCTTCGCCACGTCAAAAGAGGGGATTGACTATTGCGGCCGATGCGGCCGAGGCGCTGCGCCGCGCGTCCATGGGCATGGAATGCGCAGACGCGCGGCTGCATGCAAGGACAACGAGAGGGGCGCAATTTGGATTAACCCCGTGCTCAAGACAGTTCAACGACACCTGCAACCCGCAAGTGGGGCAATGAGACCGGGGAAAAAGATATCGGGGCGAGGTGCAGACATTGCGTGCCGCAGTGGGCCCAGTCAACAAGCAGGGGCACGGCCTCTCGCTCAACGCGCTCGTGGACGACATCGCCAAGACCCGCGCGGAGGTCTCGTCGGGCCCGATCCCTTTGGCATTTGGAGTTCGCGAGGTAATCTCGGAAAACCAGGTGGAGCTCGGCGAAAGCGAGGTTATCTCGGTTCGCGCAAGCTCTCAGCCCCAATTCGGCACTAAGCGGAAGCGAGGATATCTTGGTTTGCCCAAGAGCCCAGGCGACAAGTATCGCGGTGCAGATCAACGCCACCATCCAGCGCGTGGAAAGCAAGCAGGGGAAAAGTGGATGGGGCCTGAACCCAGCCAAGACCGACCACCCGGTGGCTCTGCGGGGACCAAGGCGAGATGGGACCGCAAGGCAGCTGCAGAGAAAGAGGAAATTCAAGGGCACGCCGACGAGGGAGATCCGCACCTACCAGGAGATCAAGGGCACGCAGGAGAGATGAGGAGGAGGTGCGGGGCCATGCAGCTTGCCAACAGGCAGTGCGGGTGCTCCTGGTCTTCAGATGCTACAGACGGAATGCAGAAGGAAATGCCCCGGGCGTTTATTGCGGGGGGTGGGCCCCAGCGGGCTGGCGGCACTTGTGCTGGGAAGAACGTCGCCTGAGGGCACTCGACAGTGCGACGGTACTCCATTGGGGAAGGATGGCAGGAGGCAGGATGAGCTGGGGGGGGTGGGGGGGCGGACGGCGCAATTGGGTGCTGCGCCAGCCAGGAGGTGTTCAGGGGGCGGGGGGGTCCGCGCTGCCTGGCGGCCTCGAGGATGCGAAGGTTACGGTGGCACAGGCAATGGGCGAACATCTCCAGGGGATTTTGGCAGCGCGCTGGCAGCGGCGTTTGGAAAGCCGATGTTGGACTGTCTCTGCCAGGTCAAGAGAATGGAACATGCGCGGGTACATGCAGCTTCTACACTTTAGGCCAAGCAGGTGGTTGGAGACTTTCGGGCGCTGGCGGAGGTCAGCGAGGATGCGCGGAGCTGGTGCCCGGAGAGAGAGAGAGAGAGAGAGAGAGAGAGAGAGAGAGAGAGAGAGAGAGAGAGAGAGAGAGAGAGAGTCATACATCTCAATGTTCAAGACAAGGCGAGGGATTGGGGGGCGCGGGCGGGGCTGGACCCCAGTATCTTACGCCGCGCTTGAGCAGCATGGGGCAATGCGCTGCCTGAGATTGCGGTGGGCGGAGGAGTGGTGGCACAGTTTCGGGGCAGAGGGGCAGGCGCGCGGGGCGCAATTTATTGCGGCGGCGGCGCCGGCAGGGCCAGGGAGTTGCGCGCGACTGTCTTCCTTTGATCACCAGCCTGGTGATAACGGATCAATGTCGTTGGCGCGTGAGCTCGTTCCGCGACGAAAAAAGCGCGACGGGGCATGTCATGGGGGCGACGGGGAGTCACGGGATATGCTACGAAACGTAGAAGTTGTTGGAAGCATCCCGCGCGCGGGCCCCCTTCCCTCGCCTGCGCCCCCTGCGGCTTCCAGGCTCAATCCTTGGAAGGCGCTCAGACGCGCGCTCGCTGCCCAAATGAGGGGCGAGCGCGGAGATGGACGGGGGGCCGAAGCAACGGGCGGGCGGCAGGGGGGGGTGAAAGGGCCAGCGGCACGCAGAAGGGACCAGCGCCATAGTAGTGGGCAGCCCGCCTGCGACGGCGGCAGCGGCGACGGGGTGGCGCGGCATGGGCGGGGCGGGAGGGGCGGGGGGGGGGCGGGGGGGGGGCGCGGCCCGCCCGCCCGCCAGTCGCGCGCCAGGGGCGACTACGAGGAGTTCGACCTAAGAGGGCGCATCAACGGGCATCAAGGACTGGCCCTTCGCTCAGCGGCAGGGATCGGAGACGCGAATTCAATGACATCGGAGTTCTAGCTCGGACCAATCGTCAATCTCGCGTTTCGGAAGTCGCCAGCAGCAGGGCAGAGCCACGGGAACCAGGGCAGGGGGAAGGGCATGGGGCGCAAGATG